CCCAGGCGAATCTCTGATGCCACAGTCCCCAGCCCTCTGCAGCGGCAGCCGGAGACCCGGAACTCATAATGGCAAGCCCTAAACCCTAAACCCTAAACCCTAAACCCTAAAACCCTAGCTTGGGAAAACTGTGTCCAGGGCTGGCTTTGGAAGCGCAAACGCTCGTTAAATAGGCAAAGAAGAAGAAGAGGAGGTCAACAGAAGTCCTGCCTACCTAAGCCGACATCGCCAGGAACATGCCAGACTCTCACGCTACCTTGGCCCTAAACCCTAAACCCTAATTAAACCCTAAACCCTAAACCCTAAACCCTAAGCCGAGAAGCCCGGCCACAATCCAGGTTAAGGATGGAAAGTAGCCCAGAGCTTTTCTCGATCGATAAGAAGAGCACCGAATGGGAGCAACCCGAAGGTGCATGGCGGTTGTAAGTAGCATTTTTCTCCAAGACAGGCTTATGAGAAGGGTACAGCCGCTTTTCGCTGCCCTGCTACAAAGTACCCATGAATAGGCTCCAAGTAGGCCAGGACCCAGAGTATTCCCTTTTTTGGATTGTAGACTCCCTTGTAAGCCCATGTAAACCAAAAAAGGACGCCCTTTTTATTCCGAGGTTCCTCTTGGTTCTAGTAGGATTCAGGCCAGCCTCCCTCCTTTTACTTCATCCCCCCCCCCCCCCCCCCCCCCAACCGCCTCGATTCTGGCCTACCGACAGTCACAATAAGAGTTAGCTATGCATGTGTATTCAAACCTGGTATACTTGGTCATGTTTGTTGCAATTACCATCCTTACGAATCGAATTTCTGGGTGAACCTCTTCCATACGTATATTTACATACACAAATTAAATAGCATATGCGTCTAATTTGGTTGTGATTTTTAACATCATCATCGCCAAACCCTAGAACCCCAAACCCTTTCAAACCGAAACCCTAAACCCATCATCGTCTAGGACATGGAGTAGGCCCTTTTGTCCTTTTTTTATTGTTGGGTTTCCTGAAAAATCCCCTTAAAACCAAAAAGGGCACCCTCTTTATTCCTAGGCTACTCGTGGGTCTAGTCATTCATATGAGGGAAGCCTACAGGTACTCCTATATTCGTAAGCCCTAAACCCGAAACCCTAAACCCTAAATCCTAATTCCCTAGTTGAGCACGCCGGCCGCAAGACCGAAGCCCAGGTGGGGCTTGGGTGCCGCCCTCTCCGCCGAGGCTCTCGTCCCCTCCAAACGCACCGTAGGGTTTGAGGTTATAGGATTCAGGTTTTTGGGTTTTTTGGGTTTAGGGTGTATAGGGTTTAGGGTTTACAGGGTTTGAGGCTATAAGATTCAGGTTTTTGGGTTTATAGGGTTTAGGGTGTATAGCGTTTAGGGTGTAATTATAGGGTTTTGGGTGTATAGGGTGTTGCGTTTAGGGTTTACAGGGTTTAGGGTGTTTAGGGTGTATAGGGCTTAGGGTGTACAGGATTTCGGGTGTAGGGCTTGGGGTTGAGGGTCTAGGGCGCAGCTGCGGGTTTGGGGGCTTGGACTTCCCTGAGCCCTCGACCGTAAACCCCGTAAGCCCTGTACAAACGCTAAAAACCATCCCAAACGACCACCCTTTTTTACTAGTATACCGTGATATATTTATATATTGCAATTCAATATTCTTGCATTCTGCGCGCCCAAGAAAAACTCTCAACCCTGTGCCAAACGCCGCTATCAGACTCTGACCTGCGCCGTCCGTTTAGCGTTTAGGGTTTAGGGTTGACAAAGCCAACGACGAGCCTAAAACCCCCTGAGCCCATAAGACTTGCTTCAAGCCGCTATTCAGCCCACCACCCTATCAACCCCCTCGATCCTCACCCCCCCAAGCCCTCAACCTTGTGATCCCCGTATAGAGGTTACCCTAAACCCTGAACCCTAAACCCTAAACCCTAAACCCTAAACCCTAAACCCTAAACCCTAAACCCTAAACCCTAAACCCTACACCATCTGAGCCTTCAGGTGCTCCATGAACTCCGACCCGCCAGTGACAGGCGGCGCTCATGTTGAGCTCCGATTTTGGTCATGGGGTTTAGGGTTTAGGGTTTGGGGTTTAGGGTTTAGGGTTTAGGGTTTGGGGTTTAGGGTTTAGGGTTTAGGGTTTAGGGTCTAGGGTTTAGGGTTTAATTAGGGTTTAGGGTTTAGGGTTTGGGGTTTAGGGTTTTGGGTTTTCCCAACCCTAAACCCTGTCTCGAAAACCCTGGAAAGATGTCTGTGACAGGCTTGGGGGCTCCCCGCTCAAGCTTAGGGTTTAGGGTTCAGGGTTTAGGGTTTAGGGTTTAGGGTTTAGAGTTTTGGGTTAGAGAGTCTTCGGCGACGGTGGTGAGTGCTTACGTGCCTAGGGTATTGCCAGAGAAGAGGGCTCTCTTGCCTGAGCCCCGAACACCCACAGCTCCTTTGACAAGGCTGTTTGACGAGCCCGGCAGTTGGCGCCAGGATGTCCGCCACAAGGCAGCGCGCGGCGGTTTGGGGCTTGGGCTTAGGGTGTAGGGTTTAGGGTTTATATAGGGTTTAGGGTTCGGGGTTCAGGGTTTAGGGTTCAAGGTTCAGGGTTTAGGGGCTGTTCTTCGGAGGAGTCAGGACCTAGGCAAAGATGTGCCAAATATCCGACTCACTGAACCACCCGAGCATATGCCACGTGAAATACTTAGTGACTTAGGGTGTGACATTCACTGGATTTATATGTGCTGTAGAGAATCAGAAATGTGCCCAAGCCCTAGACCCTAACCCCTAACCGCTAGACCCTAAACCCTAAACCCTAAACCCTAACCCTATACCCTATACCCTCAACGTTGCCGGACGTTTAGACCGGCAGCTTCGTGGGATCAGGGCTTGCTCGCATGTTTGCATATGCCCCATTAGGGCGGTGAGGGCTGCAACTGCACACAGTAGCACGAAGTATTGATAGGCAAAACCTACATGACACCCTAAACCCTCAAGGCTAAACCCTAAACCCTAAGGCTTCAGTTTGCTTGCATCGAGCCTGAAACCCTAGGCCGTAAACCCAAACCCTAAACCCTAAATCCTAAACCCCTTCACCTCTGTGGGCATCGTTTTTTTTTGCCGATCTCGGCAGGCACGCCAAGCCTCAATGCTGGCAGTGAAGGCATCACTTTGCAGATTATATTTTTGGCAAGTTCTCCTTTATAGTCTTTGTTTAGAAGCTGAACCTGTCCAGCCTTCTATGGCACCAGAATCCCCCAAACGCCCCAACATGATTTGCCCATACAAACAGCTACATCTCCAAAAATAGGGATCTCAGAAGTACCATAGCCCTTGCCTGCCTTTCGGGAACCCGAAACCCTAAACCCTAGACCCACCCAAAATGGGTAACCCCTATGTTAGGAAGGGTCCTCGGTACACCCTTGGGATCTTGTATACATCCCTTATTGTATTTAAGAGGTGTAGTACCATTCTGAGTTTACCCCCGTCCCCCCCCCCCCCCCCCCCCCCAAACCAAAAACCAAAAAGCAAAAAACAAGTAAAGTAAAGTAACAATACTGATGAATAAAGGAACATACTAAATTGGGCATCAGGCACCTAGTTCCGAAATAGGGCTTCGGGTGTTCCTATTTCCATAGTAGTACTTCAAATTCACTCTCTGGGATATGGTTTCAAACGGGTTTAGAGGCCATCCTGGAATGCGCAAAAAATGGGCCATATACCTTCATTGGAGGATGCTTAGTAAGTATGAAAAGGTTCTTAAGGGAGGGGGGGGGGGGTGCATGGGAGGCAGGTATCTATAAAACGTTAGGGAAGCTTAGGGAGCTCTAGGGAGTAGTAGGGCGTATTAGGGAACCTTGGGTTACATACCCCCTTGAACCCCCCTGTTTCAAGAACCCTATAAAAGTAGGAGGAGGTCGGCCTCGTGAGCTGCAAGTCCTCAGATGGTAGCTGTTTGCTGAATAGGGGTTTAGGGTTTAGGGCGCAGGGTTTTGCTCTAGTCGAGAACATGTATCCGCAGCCCTACCTGTGATGAAACCCTGCAAAATAGTCGGTTCTAACCCGCTAAATCTGGGGCATAACCGTCAGAATAGTTGGCAAATCGAGGCGCCACACCCTCAGCCCCGGCACCGACGTCTGGATCCGTCACTGACACATCTTGAACCACGACCCCCATGACCCTGATGCTATGAACCCACGAACCAGCAGCACGAAGCCATGAAGGGGTTGGGGATTAGGGTTTAGGGTTTCTACTGTTTTTAGGGCGCAGGGTTTGGGGTTTCGGACTAGGGGTTAGGGTCTTGCATGGAACGCCCAGGATCTCTCCAGACTCTCTCCTTGGAGAAGGCAGGGCGTTCACGCGCATTGGGGCGCGAAAGGTTCGGGTTCTCAGGGCGAAACCCTGGACCCTGAACCCTAGACCCCCGCACCTTGCCTGGAGGATCGGGGCACTTAGCATGTAGGGTCATAAGTAGCTTAATTGGGCTTGTAAGTGTTTATAAGCATCGTTACCTTTCATATAGCCCCACTTACTAAGGCCCCTGATCCTTGAATTGTTTTTCAGTGATAAGGTTTCAAAGTCGCTTGGGACTCCCAACAGTAGCCCACTGCCCTCAAGCAACTGGGGTGATTTGGGGACCTATGGGAGGGGGGGAGGTGGGGGGAGGTTGGGTTCAGCGGGCTTACTTCGCATTCCCGATTTTCAGTCTTAAACATCTGTGCAGATTTGAACTAGAGTCTTGGAGCCTTTGGGGTGGGTGGGGGGAGGACATAGTATTTGAGGCTTGTTCCTCGTAGGTTGCCGCCCTGAATACTACACCCTGAACCCTGTGCCCTTTTTGCCTCCGGGGTCCATGTACCTAGCTATTATACCTGGGCCCTACACTCCCTCTATAGGAGGTACTCTAAAGGCCCAAGCATCCCACACCCTGAACCCTAAACCCTAAACCCTAAACCCTAAACCCTAAACCCTAAACCCTAAACCCTAAACCCTAAACCCTAAACCCTAAACCCTAAACCCTACACGGACACTTTGAGCTCCACAGGATGGATGTGCTTGCACAAGGCCTGGCGACTGGATGGTTCGGGATTCTAGGTTTAGGGTTTAGGGTTTAGGGTTTGGGCTTTAGGGATTAGCGTTTAGGGTTTAGGGTTTAGGGTTTAGGGCTAGGCTTTTATGAGGTTGGGTCTTTGCTAGGTGCTTTGGTGAGTGTTGGTAGAGATTCGTACCCTAAACCCTAAACCCGAAACCCTAAACATGTGGTTGGCACGGTACGCAAAAACCTAGACCCGAGGCCAGAAGCCCTGGTAGGGTTTAGGGTTTGGGGTTTAGGGTTCCGGGTTTTAGGGTTTAGGGTTTAGGGTTAGGGTTTTGGGTTTAGGGTTTAGGGTTTAGGGTTTTGGGTTCAGGGTTTAGGGATGGTTCTTCCAAGCGGTGGGATGTTTGAGACGGCCTCAGCCCTGGTTGAGGGTTTAGAGTTTAGCCCGGCGCCACCACATGTTCCCACTACTTGGAGGATCGGGGCACTTAGTAAGTAAGTTTGAGTACCTTTAAATGGTCTTATAAGTGCACCTAAACTCTAAACCCTAAACCCCAAAGCCTAAACCCCCTGAAACTCGTGGGTACCACCCTGAACTCATACCCATCCCATGATCTGGGCTAAAGGTCCAGGTTGCGGAGCAGTGTGAACCTTGGCCCAGTAGCAGGGTTTAGGGTTTTAGGACCCAAGTACAACCCGGAAACAGCATCCACAATCCCTCCTTCAGAATGTCAGCAGCTACCTTCGAAACGACCCTAAACCCTAAACTCTCAACCCTAAACCCCAAAACCCCAAACCTGAAACCTGAATCCTTCAGCACCTGTGTTTCCGCAGCCGGACGATTGGCCAGGATCTTGGGATCCAGAGTAGGAGAACTGCTCATTTTCGCCAGTCGCCATGGGCTGCGCGGCAAGCGCAAGGGCACAAGCACCTCAGGTTTTCCAAGACGCGCCCCCGCCAGCGAACAGCCCGCCCAATTTGCAACCCCCCGAGCTTCTTGGAAGCCCTAAGCCCTAAGCCCTAAACCCTAAACCCTATACCCCAGTGGTAGTTTTTTGACCCTTTTTTTGGTAGAAGGTTCAAGGAAGCATCCTAGGGATATTCCCCCTTATACTAGCAGTCCTTAAGAGGGATTCTGGTACCCCTAAACCCTAAACCCTAAACCTTAAACCTTAAACCCTAAACCCTAAACCCCAAGGCTTTCAGAGCAGCGCCAAAGCGTGGCGCGCGAAGAGCAGATGCCTGTAGAGGAAGTGGAGGTGGGTGCCCGGCGCTGGTGTTCCATGAAGCTTGGAATGCCTTTAGTAAGGTTTAGGGTATTAGGGTATTAGGGTTTAGGGTTTAGGGTTTAGGGTTTAGGGTTTAGGTTTAGGGTTGAGGGGCGAAGCACTAGACCCCAACCTCTACACACTGAACCCTAATCTTCAAGCCCTAGCCCTAAACCCTAAACCCTAAACCCTAAACCCTAAACCCTAAACCCTAAACCCTAAACCCTAAACCCTCCAACCTGCAGCCCCGAACTCTACCTCCTTCCCCCCCCCCCCCCCCCCTAAATCCCCAAACACTAGTCCCTACACCATGAGCCCAACCCCTCAGGACATCCCTAAACCCTAAACCCTAAACCCTAAACCCTAAACCCTAAACCCTAAACCCCAAACCCCTCAGGACATCGGATGATGCTGGGCAAGGGCACCCCTCCCCGCCAGATAGGCGCACGCACAAGTGGCACATACAGCGGCCCCTTGGTCGCTCTTTCAATGAGGGGTTTAGGGTTCAGGGTTCAGGGTTTAGGGTTTAGGGTTTAGGCCCAGGGTTTGGGGTTTAGGGTTTAGGGTTTAGAGATTCTACGTCGGGTTATGGGGATTATGCTGGGGTTTCTAGGGGGCACGAAGAGATGTTCTAAGTCAAACGAGCTTCTCAGTAGGCTTTGGGGTTTCAGGGTTGTGGAGTTTTTGGACTTCCTGAGCTTAAGCGATTTAGTGAAAGTGGTCTCTTCACTGCCACTCTTTGGCTGCTCAAGCCGAAACCTGGGTTTAGGGTTTAGGGTTTAGGGTTTAGGGTCTAGGGCCTCCAAGGACTTGCCGCGCTAGGGTTCCGTCATAAGAATGCCTCATTTTTGAGTTACAGAAAATCCCGGACCCAAACCCCTAAACCCTACACCTCTAAAGGTTTAGGGTTTAGGGTTTAGGGCTTGGGGTTTAGGGTTTAGGGTAAACCACAGGGTCACCCGTCTGAAGAAGGCTTTTCGGTAAGTTGAGAATCCAGGGCCCTAAGCCCCAAACACCAACCCTTACAAGCCCGAGCCTCGAAACCTGAGCTAGTACTTCGAAGGTCGAAGCCTTAGGTTACTGGAACTCTTAAGGTCCCGTCCCTAAACCCCAAACCCAAACCCCTAAAACCTGATAGGGAGAACCCAGGATGGACCGTTTGCGGAACATCGTCGCTGCAGACCCTGGCTTGCTCGAGAACATCGTACGCAGCCGGCGGACCAACGCGTCCGCGACCGCACCAAGCCAACCATCCGGCTCTAAGCCGGGAAGTCCCAGCTACAGGCGCGCCGTAACCGCGCCAAGCCAGGTATCCAGCTCTGAGCCACGAAGACCCAACTCCGTGCCCCAGCCACATAGCCTAGGAGTAAGGGCCCTAAACCCTCAACCCCCCCTCCAAAAGAACGGTGAAGAGAAGAGCGCGTGAGCCCGCAAGAGGCTCTTAGGGTCTTGGGCTGAGTTGTGTCGGAAAACTTCGACGATATCTCCGCCATGGCAGCCAAAGCCGGAACGCTTCAGCCCCAAACCCTAGAGCCCGAAGCCTAGCTAGGGTTTAGGATTGAAACCGTAGCCCTACATCCTAAGCCGTAAACCCTAAACCATAAAGCCCAAGCCTTCGAGCCTTCTGAGCACTGCAGGATACTAGAAGGGTTTAGGGTTTAGGCTTTGTGGGGGTTAAGCTAAACCCGAAAACGACGTGAACACAACAAATGCAAGGACTGATCGCTGATCTGTCTGGAGTTTGGTTAACAATGCCCGAAGGGTCCATGTACCTGAATAGGGAATACTTTAAAAGAGGGACTTCGGGGTCCAAGTACACATTCATGAGGTACAAGGGGCTTTTAGGGACTATGCCTGGGCGTTTTGGGGCTCATGTTAGGATGTTCCCCCTTATACCAACAGCTCCTGAATAGGCATGATCATAGGGGGTACTAAAATCCCTATCCCTAAACCCTAAACCCTAAACCTTAAACCCTAAACCCTAAACAAAATCCCTATAAGGACTGTTCTAGGATGCCCAGTAGTACCCTTACTCCCTTTTTTGGGGTTCAGGTCCCCTTATAAACCCCTTTAAGCAACAAAAAAAGGGCACCCTTCTTGAGCCTAGGTTACTGGGCAGCCTAGTGCTAGTATCAGGGGGTACATCCCAAATGCCTGGGCGTTTTGGGGCTCATGCATTTTGAGTTCAGGGGTTTGGGGCGGGCTTCGACCTTGGGGTGATGTTGGTTTGGAGGGCCCAGTTTCGAAAGGACTTAGTTGGGACCTACCCCTACACCCTGCACCCTAAACCCTAAACCCTAAACCCTAAACCCTAAACCCTAAACCCTAAACCTGGTTGTTTTGTGTTCTTTTTGCCTGCGGGCCTCAGGGCCAGAAGCGTTGGCTGGAGCCCTGACATGCTACCATAGGAGCGCACGAGGCAGTCGATGTCCGACATCAGGGTTTGGGGTTTAGGGTTTAGGGTTTAGGGTTTAGGGTTCAGGGTTTAGGGTTTAGGGTTTAGGGTTTAGGGTTTAGAGTTTGGGTTGTGTCGTGGATGTCGCTTTTGTGCATTTGGACCCAGTTGCGTTGCTTCGTGAAAGTTTAGACGCTGTACAGCTATCCGATGGCTCGCACCCACGGATCCAAGGTCTCTGCACAGCTGTGACCCCAGAAAAACCTGGACTCTTGTAAACAAGCAGACTAAAGCAAACCACCCTAAACCCTAGAATTTAGGGTTTAGGGTTTAGGGTTTAGGGTTTAGGCTTTAGGGTTTAGGGTTTAGGGTTCCTTGAGCCCTTAAGCCCTCAACCGGAGACACCTTGCTGGTGTGTCTGCCAAGTGCTGCGCTGTCCATGGTACGGTTCAGCCCTCCACTTGGGGGAAAGGCACAACCCCTTAGCTAAGGAACATACCTTAAAATCATATTAGGGTTCCTAGTATAATTTAAGGTATATTCCTATAATTAAGGGGTTCTGGAGTCTCTGGGATTTCTTTGCAACGGGAGGTTTAGGGCTTAGGTACGGTTTGCGTCTTGGGGTTGGGATTAGAGGGAAGAGGGGCTTTAGGGTTTGGGGCTTGGGGTTTCGGGTTTAGGGTTTAGGGTTTAGGGTTTAGGTTTAGGGGTTTAGGGCTCAGGGCTTGGGGTTGACATAGGGCATTTTAGGGCCGGGGGCTGTGGGATGAGACTTTTGGGGTTTTGGAATTTCAATCGCTGCCTGGAATCCCCCCGCCCAAAGCAATATGTATATATATATATATAAGTTTTATTGGCGAGAGACGGTTCCTTGTAAATATTGGTGAGTGTGTGTACATGTACGCACATGCTTTATGCAATATATATATATATATATATATATATCTGTGGTGATTTACTGTAACTTTAGATCCTTAGCATTTTTGGGTTTATTGGGGTTTTTGAACAAGGCAGCTAGCAATTTAACTTGTAGCTACCCTGCTAAGTGCGGCCAAGAATATGCATATGCATATTGGGTGTCCTTTTGCGGACTCGGATACAAGCAAAAGACACCTACTCTACATAGTACTATATCCCCCTCGGGAATTATTTTTTGTATTTTTGTTTATATAAAACCCAAGGGGATATTAATAATGTCATTTTTTTATTAAGGTTCTAGGGGGAGTATAGAGTAGCTCAGGGTCGCACCAGGAGAGAGCATCTTCCAGGTCGGTTTGTCAATGCGCCGCAGCAGCCCTGCCCTAACCTCAGGGTTTAGGGTTTAGGGTTTAGGGTTTAGGGTTTAGGGTAACGACTGAGGGCTAGGGTATTTAGTCGAACCATAAATAGAGTCCCAGGTATAGTCTCCGAACCCATGCTTTCCATGTCAATCTTTTTTAACTGTGAGGAGGAGAACGGGGTGTGTGGCTGCTGCTTTTGTCGCTCAGAGCTTAGCGACAGATGAGTGTGTTTTCACCTGAAGGAGTGAGCTGAGCTCGTTCCTTCACTGCGAACCTGCAGTCTGCCAGCTGCTTGTGCCTGCGACTTGGCACGTCAGTACCAGCCAAGCAGAGCGCGCATTCCAGCTGCTACTCCGTCGCAGCTCACCATTTTGGTGGTCATGCCTACACAGAAACATAAGGATCCCACCATTTTGGTGTATAAGGGCCCCTAATTATAAGGGGGACTCCCAAAAAAAACCCTGTTTGCAGGATCCTTGTGTCTATGTGGTTGGCTTTTTTGGTGGTCATGTCGAAAATCCGCCATGAAAGGGGCCACTTGGCTCAGCGAGGTGTAATGAGGGAACCTGGCATTGGGACAGTCTTCGGCGCGTCCCCCTTAGCTATATCCCCCTGGGTTTTTTTTCATTTATGTTGATATAAAACCCAAGTTCAACATGTTTTTTTTATTACGGTTCTAAGGGGAGTATAGTTAAGAAACTCGCAGTGACCAGCATTGCTCGGCAGCTTTTTTGGGGCTTGCCTGGGACCCTCCTTACCTATAGTTTTACGGGTTATACCTACCAATCAAGGGTAACTACTACTAAACTGTAGGTAAATAGAGTCGCAGGTAGGGTTTAGGGGATTCGGTAGACATTCGGGGTATGTCACATGTGCCCGTATTGTGTTGAGAAGATTCCCCTTTGAGGATTCACTCTAAGCGCTGACCTAGAAAAGAGGCAACTGGAAGAAGTTCGGACTAAGTACCGACCAGACGATACACACAAACACCTACACCACAACGTCTTCAGCGGTTCAGCAACGCCAGCGGTCTCCACTTCAGTCCGATGATACGAGCCTTTAGTACATGTGCATCCGGTCTATGTACCAGGTCTCTGCAGTATGGCCTCTTTCCAAAAAAATAGCAAGCAAAGCCCCACAACTTTGAGAACCCGCCATTAGCTTAGTATCCAGGCAGGGGGAGTTTTAAGATGCAGATATGCAGATCTTTCTTTCGAGCATTCATGTATGTACTTATGTTGTTCTTAATGCTGCATGCTTCCTAAGCCCTAATCCCTTATCCCTAAACCCTAAACCCTAAACCCTAAACCCTAAACCCTAAATACATGGCGCCCTTTCAACTCCTCAGCCCTGAAGCCAGAGAGCCTCAAACTGCAAATGCTCCATACCATTTGCATAGGAGCCAAGCCAATTCAAAGGAGGCAACGGCGGAGGTTTCGGGTTTTTATAGGGTTTGGGGTTTAGGGTTTAGGGTTTAGCTAGGGTGTAGGGGTTTAGGGCCCGGGTTTAGGGTTTAGGGTTGTGTGTGCATCTGGGTGAGGTTGAGGGCTTACAGGGTACACAGCGTTGAGAGGTTCATGCCCTAAACCCTAAACCCTAATGCCCTAAACCCTAATACCCCAAACCCTAAACCCCAAAAGTCTCGGTCTTTTCCCTTCAGCCGTAAGCCCAAGCTGTCTAGGTTGGGATGTTCCCCCTTATACTAACAGTCCTTCATGGGGATGAGAGTAAGGGGTACTATACCCTATAAAGGACTGTATATGTTGCCGCCTTACTATACTAACTGTAGTTAAGGGACTTATAACCTAATTCAGGATCCTTATAACCCAATTTAAGGCTCTTATAGCTCTACTTATAACTAGGGGGCCTCTCCTTGTATAGTCCCTATAATGACTGTATATGTTGCAAATTTAGGGTTGCCTAGTTGCGGTCCTCGAGATCCTACAACAAAAAAGCTGCACTTATTCGGCTTAGGATTTAGGGTGAAAGCTTAGGGATTATCGTATTAGTAGCAACTTTGAGCCTTTTTTTCCTTTGAAAGCCGGTTTAGTATCTTGAAGGCTTCAGGTTTACAGAGACTTTAGTGGCTTCTTGCTGAGAGGCTCATTCTCAACGCAGGCCGTTCGCTCCTACTCTTTCCGCTTGGCTTTTTAACGGATAGGCGCGACCAGCGCTTCATCCAAAAGCGCTTGGCGCGCAAAACGTTCCGCCCCGGACATCAGGCTGGTTTATGGCTTTAGCTTGGCATCTTCCCCCTTATACTAACAGTCCAAAAACAGGGATTTTCGTACCCCGTAATTATTATCATCCCTATTAAGGACTGCTGGTGTAAGCTTGAGAGTCAAGCAGGTACTGTAGAGGGCTTTGGCGACTTGAGCTTGTAGGGGATTCAAGGGTCTGTAGGGTTAAACCCTCAACCTGGACAAACCCTAAACCCCAAACCCCAAACCCTAAACCCTAAACCTTTATAAACCCTAAACCCGACACTTAGGATTTAGGGGTTAGGCCCCTCAGCTGGCCAGTTTTCGTCACACCACCCTTTCATAGCCCCCGCCCACCCGGAAACTCCTTGAAGTTGTCCCCACGAAAGGGTCTCTACAGGGTTTAGGGTTTAGGGTTTAGGGTTTAGGGTATAGGGTTTAAGGAAACACTAAGCCCCTGGGTTCGGGGTTTCGGAGTTCTCTCAGCTCTAAACCCCCTAGATCCTAGTGCCCTAGACGCGAATGAATCGCCCCTAAACCCTAAACCCTAAACCCTAAACCCTAAACCCTAAACCCTAAACCCTAAACCCTAAACCCTAAACCCTAAACCCTAAAAACCCCTAAAACCCCTAAAACCCTGGGTGTCTTAACAACACAGCCTCTTTGAAAGGCGGCGGCCAGCATGGCCCGAGCGCATCCCACAGGCTCGCAATGCGCCGGCACGGGTCGACGATCTCTGCTTGGGATGTATAGGGTTTAGAGTTTAGGGTTTAGGGCTTGGGATTTAGGGTTTAGGGTTTAGGGCTTCGGGTTCAGGGTTTAGGGCTTGGGTTTTTTTGGGTTTAGGGTTTAGGGCTTCGGGTTTAGGGTCTGGGAGGGGGGGGGAGGGTTTACTCGCATCGCTCTGTGTAAACAAACATCGATCGGCGTCCGCATTGGGGCTTTTGCACTTCGGAACAGGACCCGGCAACGATCCAAGCTGCTCCATTTTTCAATCGATGGGGCGTCCACAATGGGATCTTGCATGGAAACTACCTCGTCGGAACAATGGGTCGTGCACTCAACGCTGAAGTGTCCACGTGGGGGTCGAGCAAATGGCAGCATGTGACCTGGGCTGGATCCAGTTGCAGTTCTCTGAAAATTCCTTCTCCCCAAGCGAGCAGCGGTCAATTTAAGTGGTTGTGACAACGCTAACGAATCAGCAAACAATGATGTTTCTTGTGTCCAAGTCGCTTTGTGCTCGCGGAAGCAGGTGGAAGGTTTTGCGGAAGCCCTTGGCTTGTGGAAGCCCTTGCGGAAGTCGAGTTTTTCGCAATGCACAAGAGTCTCCGTCGCTGGGTTTGGTTCACTGGACACACAGCCCTGACCCGAACAAGGTCCCTGCTGCGACGCCCAGTTGATTTCAACATGGCCTGAAACATCAGTGTCCGCGAGGTTTGGTGGATTTTGAGCAATCAGTGGCTGTATAGCTAAAAGTGGCATCTCCTTCGGGACTGAAGTAAACGTGGGCCGAAGCATCAGCGTCCGCGAGATTTGGTGGATTTTTCAACGATCAGTGGCTGAGAACTGTATACTATAATCCGGCGTCCACATTAGGGTTTCGTATCTTGTGATGTGTATTCTCTCGAGTGATGTGCAGATCTCTGCGTGGGTGTCCACCTTGGGGTGACATGTATTTCCACGTAGGGTTTGGATTGAAGTTCAGGGCCTCATGGGATCCTAGCACCCTAAACCCTAAACCCTAAACCCTAAACCCTAAACCCTAAACCCTAAGCCCCATCAGACGTTGGGCTTGTTGTGGGCAGGGGGTAGTATAGGATCCCACATACCCCACGGATGTTTTTATCTGAAAGCTTGAACTCTAAACCCCAAACCCAAGCCCCAAACCCTAAGCCCTAAACCTGAGCCCGAAACTTTAAACCGCCAACCCAAAACTTTACATTAGTCTGTGGTTCATGAAGCGACTCCCAGATTTGCTTTGCATGTTGCATATGCGTTCTTAGTCAAACCGGGAGTTTAGGGTGCCCTGCAGAATCCTCAAGAAGGCCGAAAGGGGAATCTGAGCTTTAATTCCCGATTTCCCTACTAGATTGAACCAGAAAGTCGGTGCCCTTAAGCCCCACAGTAAACCCTAAACTCCAATTGCAGTTATCCTAATACCCTACTTAGTCGCGACTTCCTAGCTCAATCCTTCAACTACAGCCCAAGCCCTAAACCCCAAAGTTGGGTTGAAAAACCATTACAGCAAAGGTTTGTGTTTAGGGTTCAGGGGTACTACTTTGGGCCCTGAAGTGTCTTTTTGTTCCAGCGGGGCGCAACACTTCCTTCCCCTAACTCTACGCACTCTGTCTATCTATCTATCTATCTATATCTATACAAAAACTTAAATAAATAAATAAATAAAAATATAATATAAATATATATATATATATATATATATATATATATATATGAACATCAGCCGCGTCTTTGGCTGGCTCGAGTCAAGCCAAGGGAAAAATCCTAGCCCTATCGGCCTTTTCTTTTGCTCTCTGAGCCCTCTACATTCACATTTGCGATGTGCCTCTGCTGGAAGAGAGGATTTGGTTCAGGGCTTAGGGTTCCTAAACCCTAAGCCCGAAACCCTAATCCCTAAGCCCTAAACCTTGAAACCGAGGATGTTGTGGGATGAACGGGTCCTGATTTCTGGAACTGCTGGAGGGGTTCCGACGATGACTTCGGCTGATTTCAGGGTTTGGGAGGTTTCGGGTTTGGGGTGACCTGGCTCAACACGACAGTGCGGTAGGAAACTGGCCAATGTTGGGCTTTCTCAGAGCCTATGATCCCAACGCGGAACTCAGCGATGCAGGCTGGAATGATGATCTGACCACCACTGGAGTCTTCGCCGCAATGGCACTTGCAGGAGAAAATCCAGTTCCTGGAGAAGACTGGGAGCATGGAGGTCACGCCGAAAACATAAATAAAAATAGCGCGTCGGCCTACTTGTTCTGGGCATCCCAGATTTGCAAGATTCCGGAGCATCGAGGCAAAAGAAAGGTATGCGCTGCCAAGAATCGAGGTGTTTGGCCCTCATTGCTTTAATGAAGGGCAGAAAGTAGGTTTCCTTTGGTTGCTTCAGGATTTGGGTGCTTGCCTCTTCTTGGGTACCCGTTACAAGGCAGCACCCTTGATAAAGGAACCAAAAACGGAACTCTTGTTTATTAATGCACAGGGAGCCCTAAACCCGAAACCCGAAACCCGAAACCCGAAACCCTAAACCCTAAACCCTAAACCCTAAACGGGTTGATTCAAGATTTGGGGATGCGAAGCCGGGCCTAGACTTGAGACTTGCTTGGGGCCACTCTTTTGGGAAGGAGCCGGAGTCCTCAAAGGTTGGGGTGTAGGGTTTAGGGTTTAGGGTTTGGGGTTTGGGGTTTAGGTTTTAGGGTTTAGGATTTAGGGTTTGGGATTTTCCCCTCGCGGCTGATGCGTTGCATCCCTCGTGTTGGGGTACCCTCTTGTGGAGTTGGGCTACTCTCATGAGCAGCTTAGGTACCGCGGCCCCCCCACCCCCCCTCCCCCCCCCCCCACCCCCCCCCCAAACCCCCCTGACCCCCCCCCCCCCCCCCCGACCCCCCCCCCCCCCCCGACCCCCCCCCCCCCCCCGACCCCCCCCCCCCCCGACCCCCCCCCCCCCGACCCCCCCCCCCCCCCCCCGACCCCCCCCCCCCAACCCCCCCCCCCCCCCCCCCCGCCCCCCCCCCGACCCCCCCCCCCCCCCCCCCCCACCCCCCCGACCCCCCCCCCCCCCCCCCAAAAAAAAAAAAGAATAAAAATACATGAAAAACAACAAAGGATGGATTGGTTGGAAGCCTCCAAGCTTCCGCTTCAAGGTTTAGGGCTTGGAGTTTAGCTTAGGTTTTAGGGTTTAGGGTTTAGGGCTTAGGGCGTAGGGTTCAGGGCTTAGGGTTTAGGGTTTAGGCAACCGAAGCCTTGAATCCCTCCTCAACCCTGGGTGGCTTACGCCCTAAACCCTGAACCCTAAACCCTAAACCCTAAACCCTAAACCCTAAACCCTAAACCCTAAACCCTAAACCCTAAACCCTAAACCCTAAACCCTAAACCCTAAGCCCTAAACCCTAAACCCTAAACCCTAAACCCTATCAAGCTGGACAACGAGGCTGATCCCAGCCCCAAGGCCCGATGCCTCCACACCTGCAGCTCTTCACACTCTCAGCCCTAAGCCATAAACCCTAAACTCCAAACCCTAAACCCTGATAAACCCTCATAAACCCCTAAACCCCTAAACCCCTAAACCCCTCAACCCCTAAACCCCTAAACCCCTAAGCCCCTAAACCCTAAGCCCCTAAACCCCTAAACCCCCAAACCCCGAAACCCCAAACCCCCAAACCCCTAAACCTCCCAAGATGTTCCGCATCGCCGCGCTGCTGCTTCCCCTGTCGCTGGCCGAGCCCTGCGCTCCCGGCGACGTGCGCGACTGAGCGCCCCAGGGGTCTCCTTCGGTGTGGGGGTTTGGGGTTTAGGGTTTAGGGTTTACGGTTTAGGGTTTAGCGCTTAGGGCTTAGGGTTTTGGGTGTTGGGTTTAGGGAATGCCTTATACACCCCACACTCCACACTCACTCCACACTCGACATTCCACGCTCCACACTCCACGCTCCACACTCCCACACTCCACACGCCACACTCTGCCCACACACCCACACAACCAAAACCCTAAAGCCCTACAACCCTGAAGCTTGAACCCAAAAGACCTAAAGCCCTCAACCCTATAGCTCCGAACCAGAAGCCCCAAGCCCTAAACCCGAAGCCCTAAGCCCTGAACCCTAAGCCCTTGCATCTGTTCTCCCTAAACCCTAAACCCTAAACCCTAAATCCTAAACCCTAAACCCTAAACCCTAAACCCTAGACCCTAAACCCTAAACCCTAAACCCTAAACCCACGTCGGGACAGGGGACTCAGGAGCTTCCGAGGTTTCGGGATCTGTCAGTTTGGGGCTTGTAGAAGATCTGGGTTTGTGGGTTAGGGTTTGGGGTTTAGGGTTTAGGGTTTGGGGTTTAGGGTTTAGAGTTTAGGGTTTAGGGTTTAGGGTTCAGGGTTTAGGGTTTAGGGTTTAGGGTTTAGGGTTTAGGGTTTGCGGTTTAGGTGGTTTGGGTTTTCAGGGCTTGTGGGTTTAGGGTTTGGGGCTTAGGGTTTAGGGTTTCGGGCTTGAAAAATCTAGGTTTGGGGTTTAGGGTTCGGGGCTTAGGCTTGTGAGTCTAGGGTTTGGGGTTTAGGGTTTTAGGGTTTAGGACTTTAAGGTACTGTTGGGGGGGGGGGGGGGGGGGGGGGGAATGTAGGGATTTTAATCAGGTCTTTGCTGGCCCTAAACCCTAAACCCTAAACCCTAAACCCTAAACCCTAAACCCTAAACCCTAAACCCTAAACCCTAAACCCTAAACCCTAAACCCTAAACCCTAAACCCTAAACCCTTGTCCTTCTGCTGTTTCGGGTTGAGGACAACGTGCAATCCACCCACACAGCCTTCCCCTGAGGCTCAATGTACCTAAATAGACCTAAGTCCCAAAGACAAGGTTGTATTGGATGTACTAATCGGGTATAGGGTTTAGGGTTAGGGTGGGGGCGTAGGGTTTAGGGTTTAGGGCTAAGCCCAAGTAGACCCCAAACCTTAAACCCAGTGCACAGCCCGAGGCCATCTGCCACGATA